GTTCCCAAGATTTTTCGGTTATTGGATTTGCGCATTTTAATCTGAAGGGGCGCCTCACGAGTGCTCCACATTGTACTGCTACCAGGACACCATTTGGAATGATGGTCGTACGTGTGGCGGAGGTGTGACAAGCAATTTCGTCAACTTTGGCGGTGTGCCCCTCAATTTTCTGGACCAGATGGACATGGCATCTGGCTCGCCATTATGACCTGTGCCGCTGCAGGGTGGTTTCTCGTATTTTCTTGGGGAGGCTGGTGGGGGCGGATCATCCGCCTCCCCGGCAGAGTGGCAGAGGTCAGGCTGTTGTTGCACATTTACTGACAATCATTGTACATGAGGTGCCTCATGCACCGAATGCTACACCTGCGGGGGTGCTCATCCCATCTCCCGGTGTTTCCACGGGGACAAGGTAGTGAGACAGGGGATCTGGGTACTACGGTCAATGACGCCAGTTGTCATAAGCTCAACGTGCCCGGGGCTCGTACATTCTGAGATCCATTGAGAAACCTTCGTCCTGTTGGAAGGCTGTGGGCACGGGTTTTGGATTCCTTTCTCTTTCACTCCCCCATCGTTGCTGGTTCAGAACCTTTGGTCAGTCCGGGTTTTTCCCGCATGTGGTCGACAACTCTTGTCAGGGAGGTGTCTCTGGCTCATAGCACCTGAGCACACAGCAGATTCTGGCCTGTCATTTTATATTTTTCTCTTGCCCAATAGCCCCAGTGACTCCCTGATACCTGATTAAGCAAGGGAAAGTGGACATTTCTGACATAGAGCACAGTGATTTTTTTTTTTTTATTCTTTATTTTTCATTGTGCATAAAATAACAGTATACCTACCCTGCCACAATAGCAGTTACAGGTAGTATATTAACAGGCATATCAGGTATGGCATTGCATAAAAGTAAATGGCACTTTATTTTTTTTTAAGAGTAGGTTGAAGGAAGAGTAAGACAGTAGGGTTGTCATAACATGAAACTGTTTCCTGTCTGTTATGGTAATGTTATGCATTGTAGATGTCGTGTTGTAGGATCTGTCTGGCCACCTCTCTCGTTACAGGCAAGTTGCGTGTATAATACAATTGATCAGGTGGCTTGGTGATAGACTAGGTTAAATGATTTAAGGTTCTACTGTGGCACAAACCGAAGTGAGGGACAATACGTGTTCATCACTTATGGTTGTGCACCGAAAGGACCCACTTCACGCTCACCAAATGCTAACGCTGGTACACACACCAATGACGCAGCACATTCACTCACATTGACTCTCGCGTTGTCAATACCAACGACATGTAACTCGCAACACGGGATATTAGCGTATTGCAGGCTCTGCCAGGATTGGTAACGACGCTGACCTTCACGCATGCTAGCCACGAACTGGGAATACTCCCACTATTTTTGCGTGCTAGGATACACCTAGCGACACCAACACGGACCTACGGGCCCGAACCTAGCGGGAGCCAGTGGCTTGCCTTTCATACAATGACTTCAATTAACCGTTTGAAAGACCAGGTAACACAGTGTTATGTGGCTCCCGCCATAAATAGCTGAGAACGACCTCTCCCGACGCAACTCCCGTTTACCCTTTACGCACATATTGGCTAAGGGAAGCAACCTGTTTGTTACAGCCGTTCCATTTTATATGATACTACTGTTTCCCCTCGTTGTATAATTATATTGCTTTTAAAATGTCGACCGCATACTCACCCTGCATGAAGACCTACGAGTCTCTCTAGGGGAAGTTATGTGGAGATTTGCATATCTCATTGTATTCTATTTTGTGTACTAATATACTATAGAAACCTGCGAGTTTCACATTGTTTACCCACTCACTGCTTTCTACGTAGTGACCAATCTCAATAAAAAGATTTTCAAAAAAAAAAAAAAATGATTTAAGGTTGATTACATGCTGTTTAGGCAGTTTGTCATATCCAAGGGGGAAGAGGCAACAAGGAGAAGAGAGAGGAACGAAACATAGTAAAACATACGTTGCATATATATACTCCGGACCAGTGTGTCATGAGAGCAAAGTCAGGCTAGTGCCTTCACATAAAGCAGGTTAGTAGCAGGTTATGGGTTTTCTCTATGGGTATGGCGCTTGTAACAGGTGTGTGAGTGTTCGTCCCTAGCATTTAAGTGTGGAGGCAATGGTGGGCTCTTCCAGCCTGTGTTGGAGAAGTATATGTAATGTCGTTTGTGTTTTTAAACATATAAACATTTTAGGTCATATTTTAATAACCGCTGAGTGTCAGATAATAAGCAGGGGGATACCCATTTAACTCTGCTCTGCTGCTCGGGGTGATGGCAGGGAGAGAGAGGCTATTGTAAACCTTTGCCACTGGTGTGCTAGAGCAGGTAGTCAATGCGGTTTGCAGTACAGCAGATTAAACATCTATCATTGGGGGGAAAGTATAGAGGATGTCAGGGGTTAATGCCAGATCTCCTGGGTGTGCAGCATGTTTGGTGTACTTGTTCTTGCTGTCCTGTCAGGAATCCCGTGCAGCTGCCCATCGCAGTTCAGGTGGTAACAGCAACGTATGGGTCGGGTGTGAGGCCTTGTGGCATGAACGGGACAGTTCTGGTCGGGTCCCATCTGTGCTGCGGGGATACTGGGCTCTTCTGGCCTTTTGGGTTGAGGGAGTCCATAGGTAGGCCCAATGATTGTAGGAGCGGTGCTGCGTCGCACAAGTCCCGTACCTGATGTGAGTCCGGTCCCTGCTGGACTGTTAAGGTGTGGGAGGGTCGCCAGCGGTATCTGAGGCCCTTTTGGCGGAGAAGGATGGTAAGTGGCTGGAGGGATCGTCTCCATGCTAAGGTGCTGTTGGAGAGGTTGGCGTAGAAACTCAGTGCCCTGTTATCGAATTGTAGGGCGTCCAGTACTGCTGTTTTGTCAATTCCGTTCCGGAAAGCAATTATTGTGTCCCTGGTGGTCCCGGTAGGTGCCTTTGGTGATTTGGGGACCCTGAAGAGGTAGTCTGGGTGTATGTGGTCTGATTGTGCGGGTGGCAGTATCATCGCGAGCAGGCATTTGATGACCTGTGGTAGCTCTGCATCTGTTATTTCCTCCGGGAGCCCCCTAACTTTCAGGTTGTTACGCCGTCTTCGTGCTCGGCCATGCGGTATTCGTGGGAATGTTGCTGTAGCTGCAGATCCTGCACATACGTTTGAGTTCCCCCATGCCCCTGGTATTTGTTTCAGTTCGGTTCTCCATTGTATTTAGGCGGGTGTTCACCCCCTTTAGGTCTCTCCTTGGTGCAGTGATGTCCTTATGGATGTCGTCATGGTGGTCCGCTAATAATTGCTTAAGGATCGACACTGTCACTGGTGTGGAGTCCGGTGTGACGTTGGTCGTGGTAAGGGCCGTCCCGCCATGTGGGCTGGTAAGTATTCCTCGCCTGAGAGGTCATCGGAGAAGTCCGAGCATCCCCCGTGGAGTGCCGCCATGTTGGCTTCGTTTGCACCTCGGGCCTGCCTCCACATGTCTCCTATGGTGAGTCCTGGGTTGTTTTTTCCCGGCTTTGTTTTTTTCATTTTGCGTCCCATTTTGTTAGGGTGTAAGCTGGGGGTTTCTGCCTTGGTTTAGGCATAGTTTGTATGGGTATTTTTCGGGTTTTTCTTGTTTGTGCCTCGGAGCTCCAGAGTATTGCAGCCGCTTGTCTCGGCTGTCAAGCTCTGCCCCGGCCAGTAATAGTTTTAATAACTCCTACTGCACAGTTTTCTGATTTACCATCTTCTTTAACGTGCTGTCACTTTACAGCTGAGAACAGTTTGAAGCTTCAGACTGCAGGACTGAGGCTGTGACTCTGAGGACTAATCTGATTTTGATTTCAATCTGTTTTAATCTGTAATGATTGTTGATTCTGATAACCATGTCAGCTACTTATAGGCTCTATATTAACACGGCAGATTAATTATATTGCCAGCTGCAAAGATAATAAAGCATCTATCAGTATTCTACCACTTTAACCCTGTGTACACTGTGCACTGAGAGCCAATAGAGTAGCTGACATGTTTCATAAAAACAGCAATATTTAATAGAAAGCTAAAGTTATCATAGTGGGAGCCCTACTGAAGATGACATCATGAGAGGGAGTGCTTAGAGAGGGCTAGGAATTAGACAGAAATTTAGAGAGCTGTAAGCTGGAGTATTATACAGAGATATGTACTGTGTGGATATCTCTGTATTGCAGCTCTGTGTAATCCATCACAGGGATCCTGGCTGTGTGGCACCCCACCGCCTAAAAGTCACCAGCCGCCTAAGCAAACTTGGGCACGTAAGATCTCATTTGGTTGCAAAACCTGATTGGTCCTATGGTCTGTAGAATAACAGAGCATTAACAACAAAACCTGGCATGTTCATATAATTATATTGATCTGAATGGCCTGATTCATAGATTTTTATAAAAAATAATCGTCCACTGGCCATAACACAAATGCACAGTAGTCTGATGTAACTTGTTACTATAATTTGAAGAAGAATATGTGTTTCCTTCACTATTGTTTGCTAAACTTGTGCTAGGCAAAGATATTTGGTTCATCCAAACAATTTTTTCCAAAAGTTATATTTAGTTTGGGACTTCTGATACTAAATGATTTGGTGGTTGAACTCCCAAAATAGTCCATGAAAAATAGAAAACAATTTGGCCAATTTGAATAAAAAAGGGTGCGGAAGTGGGCCAATCAGGGTACTGTAAAATATATGCACAGATGAAGTGATTAAAGACTAACCAATAAGGGGTAAAGAGGAGGAGCAGTGATATATATTTTAAAATCTAATATGTAGATAGATAGATAGATAGTTAGATAGGATAGACAGACATTATTTTACTGTTCCTCCTCTTCCATTTATTGATTACTTCTCACTTGATCTGTAAACAAAATCAGCATTTAGTGACTGTCCCCCAACCATCAATCATTTTTTCTCAATAATCATCTCTTTTTTTTTTGGTCCCACAGGCGGAACTCTAAATCCCGAAGAAAAAGAACATGCTCGTCCATCATGCCCGTCATTTGCTCAGTTACATGTCCATATGACACTTTGGAGATACATAATTCAGTTGATTGGCCTAAATTCAGACTGATTGTGGATATACTGGCAGTATGCACTTTGCCAATGTGAATGAGGTATTCGGAGCGCAAAGAAGAGTTAAGTGCGCTGGCGTGGTTTGTGGCACTGCTGCAAAAATTAAGAAGGGGACCCAGATGGAGGAGGGTTTTCATCTCTACAAAGCATGCCAAGCTGTAATTCACTCTCTGCATTCATTTTTATGCTGATGGTATAACAATGAGTGCCAAAAAATGATTGCCAAGTGGCAGATGTCACTTTTTTATTTTGATTTTAAATTTATTTTTTTAAAACAATTATTTTCTAGCAATTTGGCTAGCATAATGCATATGAGTTAATAGAACTACAATAGGTAAACGTTTAGCTGTCTTTGTATAAACCTAGTTATCACTAAAATAAAAATGTATTTTATACTTGATTTTTAATTTTGTAGGTAACAACTAGATGATGATTTCATATAAATTAGGTTTTATTTTGTTTGGTGAATTAAAATATACTTTTGCATTTAACACTAGAATAAAAGATAATGAAAATAAATGAAGAAAAAATAATAAAAATACAGCAAAATCACAAATTAATATGTTATTAAGAAAAGACAGTGAGTAAATGTTTAAAGACAAATAGCCTCAAAAACCTTATCACCAATCTCATGACTTTTAACTGCCTAGACTTATCATTCACAGAGAAATATCATTGTGCCAGAGCTGATAACATAAAAATAAAAAGGCTTTTAGTTTTACTTTTATCTTTAATAATTTTATTTTGATAAAGATAGTTACAAATTTAAACACAAATATGTATATTAACCGATATATTAAAAAAAAAAAAAAAATTATAATCAGCAAGATTGTAGGTGGGGGTGACAAAGTCAATACATATAAATCCAAATCAAATAAAAGTCATACTGCTATGGACCAGGTATGATCGGCCAGGATTTCCCCAACACCCATGCTCACCAACTTCTATAAACTGAATAGTTCTACAGAAGGTATGAGAGAAAAATAAAAATACCGCAGCAGGTACAATAACAATAATACTTTTGCATTGTGTTTTAATGTTTACCAGATATTACGAAGAATTATCCAAAATGGTCATGGAAGCTTGCAACATCAAAATAACTAGTTTGCCGATAATGTGATACTAACATTCTGTCACACTAGTAATTCTAACAGCTGTGATATCCCAGGTTTAGTTTCGATCACAGCTTGCAGGCACTGCACACCAGTCGCAGAAGCACTAATAATGTATGATATCTCATTTCTGTTCTAAATCCTCCTGGTTCACTCTGGGACGCCGTGTTCTCTTCTAGAACAAATCGTATCGCTGCCAGTAAATTGATGCAGATTGTTGAGGTTAGGGCAGTGTAGGCACCTAGATGCATGTTTACAGTTCTTAGTAAAACAACATATATGGTTTATTACATATTCTAAACAATGACCAGTAATCACATAAAAAATATTTGCATAGAATAGTTTCACCTTGGTCACCTGACACTTAACCAATAAACATTTGCTTTCCATTTCTCTTAGGTATGTCACTCTTATGTCAAGTGCAATGCAATGTAGCAATGTAGCATTTAATAAACTGGAAAAAATAAACGTAAAACCAATTTTCTTAGATACATATAGCTAGAGGTCTCTTTTATCAGACGGTGCTTATTATTGATATTTAGAATTCTTGTCTCAAGTGTGATAGCATTGCAACATTGTAACTAATAGTCATTCAACTTTACACTTAGATTGAGATTTTCTCTATGTAATATATCAAGCGCCCATGAGGTATCCAATTTTAAATATGGATATAACAATACTAAAGATATAACTTTATGCAATGCTCCTAGGTGCAAGTAAGGAAGATCCTCCAAAGTTTCTCTCACATGAGGACATGGGAGTGACCCTAACAGAAAAATAATGAAGGCAAATTGATATACTTGCTCACTAGGGCTCGAACGCATTGAAATACCAAGAATTTAATTAAAAAATAATCACATACTGGTTTAGTGCCCCAGTGGTAATCCATTGGATTTATGAGGGTGCTACAGTTGTGTGTTGGAGATGGGAAGGTGGGGTTGGTACCAGCCAGCAAATCTGGTGGTCATGCCCTATCATCAAAGCTTAATGGAAAAAAGGTACACATGGCTATATTTGGGATTGTGAACACATCCCTCCCATTTCAGCCCCTTCCTATATAGTTACATAACACTACAATGCTGTTGCGGCTTTATAAGAAATCTCTTAAGAAATTGCTGAAAACATTGCTATTCTGACAGCACAAATAGTTGAGTAAATCCTCTGTTTCAGTCTGATGGTCTTAGAGAGGTCATCTGACTGGCGCAGTGTGGCATTTTGCCACGCATGCACACTAGTCTGTCAATACTTTGCTACAGTAAAGCATTGAATTGGCTGAAATCATCGATATCTCGCTGATCTCAGACAAATTAGTGGAGTGGAACACCAGAGACCAGGTCTGTGAGAGAGAAACGATAAGTAAACTCATGATTTTAACCCTGGCAATGGTGCCTTGGTCACCTAAACGGTCACTAGGACAAAAGCTATAGTGTTCCTTAAAGGGACTCCTCCTGGCACTGCAGGACTCCCTCCCACCCAATCCCATGTTACTGAAGGGGTTCTCCCGTCGACATTAGCCAGCGGGGGAGACCTAATGCACATGCATGGCAATGGTCACGCGCGTATTAGACCTCCCCATAGGAAAACATTATTCATAGCGTGAGGACGTCCAGAGTCGTTTAAAACACTTTTCGTGTTCTAAGAACACGGAAGTCCTTCTAGTGGCTGTCTATCAGGAGGACGTAACCCTTCTAGGTAATTATTGCAGTTTATGAAATCTGCAATAATTACACTTGCAGGGTAAAGGGTGATGGGAGTTGGCACCCAGACCACTCCAATGGGCAGAAGTGGCCTGGGTGCCTGGGGTGTCCCTTTACACAAACAGTATGAGTGCACACCTAACCCCTGTCAGCTGTGGTGTCTAACCCGAGGTCTGGTGGGGTTTACCTTTTCTTACTGTGTCCTAAGTGACACTTTATTATGTTTATATTACAAAACAATAAAGCATTTAGAATGTTTTATTGCTCAAGCAGCATAGCAGTAACTTATGTGTTCAGTAGCTATTATTATTGATTTCTGAGTAAGTTTAAACTTCTGGACGTACTTCACTAATCTTACACAACACAATAACATTGCACCCCTGAAAAGCATATAAACAGTGTAATTATCATAGCTGCCTTAGTAACTGAGCATGCTGGAAAATAGATGTCAGACAGCCACGAAAAGAGGATTAATAAGATTTATTGTGTTATTCAAAGTGCAGAATTTCTGCCTCCTCATACAAGCCATCGAGTGCAGACGTTTCTCAGTGTCACTTTACCAGTCCAGTGCATCGCTGTGAACATGGGGCCTAGTCCTCTCCACCTGTGAAATACACTGACCAAAAAAGGTGACCATTAAAGTCCATTATTTTGACTGGGTCATCATTCATGAAAGTGGTTTATGTTGTTTAATATTTCAGAGGCACAATGAGGGAATATATTAACACATGGAGATAATGTGATTAACCCATAGAAACCACAATACAATAACAGAGAATTGTGTACTAAAACAGGCATAGTCAACCTTTGGCACTCCAGATGTTTTGGACTACACCTCCCACGATGCTTTGCCAGCATAATGGGTGAAAGAGCACTTAGAGTCTGCATATAGAAAGTGGAACCTATTTTAGTCTTAAATGTTGCTGGGGAGAACACATATATGTATTTGTACATTTTATTTTTCCTAGGATATTTTTTAGTTAACTAAATCATGGGGAACATATATTTAAACCAAGTGCAGAGAAGACTCTAGAACAGGAGTAGGCAAGCTTTTAGTAGTACTATGCCAAAACAATATCTTGAAGTTCCTTGGCGTGCCGGTCCTATTTTGTTAAATGGCAGTGTCTATGTTGCCATATTTGGCTTGTGTTATTTTTGGGTGTTGCAGTTGCTTTGTAGTGTTGTATTTGTGCACATGTGGGATGTTATATTGTATATGCTCATGAGTAGTTTGTGGTATTGTGTATGATAACTATAAATGTGGGGTGTCCATTGGGGCTGCTTGTGAAATTGTGTGTGTGGATGAAATGCCATAAACCATATGCCATATGTTGCTGACCTTTGCTCTAGAATCATCTGAATTAAATTAGAAGCAGAGAAATGTAAGATCTTGACATATTAATTATTTCCTTAACCGATTCTACCAGAAGCTGTTGAGACACCTAAAGTGTAGGTCACATAAATGGATTGTTTTGTACCCCCTTCCTGTTTGTCAGTAGATTGCCATGGTCATTGTCATTCATCTTTGGCAAATCAATCCTGAATGCAGTCACAGCTGCTCTCGTGCACATAACATAATATTGGATATATAACATATCTAAGTCTATTTTATCATTTATATTTTATCTACAGAAAGCATGCCTTTAAAACAGTGTGGTTCCCTGAGTGTGTTGCCCTGATTTAGCAGAATACATGTCTCATCACTGAATGAAAGGGAATCACAGTTCTTCAGATTTAATTATGTTTTCCCAGGAGACATGCTTTCACTGTAGAAGATCATGTCCCTAATTATGACCATGTGCTACTTGCATTTTATGTGTGTCAACACTGGAAGCAGATCCCATAATCCAGAGGGTTTTATCTTTCTCAACAGATACTGATTATGCCAAAGGGTGAGCAGACCTACTTGCAGGTGTTATTGATGTTTCCCTCGCTTTACACATAAGGGGGAAAAAAGTATAGAACAAAGATCATATCTTTGTTTTTATGAAACAGCCTCCAGAGCCTGAGATCTTATGAAGATCCTGACTTTGTTAAAGTGCTAAAATGGATTGTGTTACAGTTTAGAGAACAGAGGAATGTTGCTGTCAGGATTTGGGATTTATCATGTCATCTACTCTATTCTTGTTAGACACAGACTTTTTAACTATCTGCTAGGGGACATCATATGCTACTAGTACATTGTATTTTCCATTCCGTTTCCCTGCTAACTCTCATTTATTTTCTCAATCTGAAAGAGGGATTATGTAAGGCTGACAATGTCCCAATATGTAACATATACACTCGCACTCTTTAAAAGCACATTTCACTTTGTAAATACTTGTCAGTAAGTATTTATTTAAT